CAGCCCTGAAAAAAGTGGCTTATTACATTTTTTACACTTATGACCATTGCAGCATCCCCATGGCCATGGGATCAAAATTCAGATGTTTGGCAACTGGTTTATATTTATAATGGTTCCAGTATCCCAGGGTCATCTGATCAGCTTTTGAGACCTTCTGACAAGCAAAGTCAATGTGGAAGCTCAATTCACTCAACGACCGTATTACTAATTTAACAACTGCCATGATTCACTTCACAACTGGGGCAGGAAAAGTCATAAATTGGGGCAAAATTCACTTAATGGCAACATAAATGTTGGGCTCAATTGTACTCGTAAGTGAAGGACTAGCTGCAGTATGAATAAAAATAAAGGAAAAGTACAGATATTTTCAACATTTGCTTCTTTCCCTTACCTCTCAGAACCCAAACTTTCTCTCACTGAAAAAAATTGGAATTGATAGGGTAATTATTTTTTAACTTCAGTAAAATCAATGTATATTGCAGAAGAAGATGGTTGTCCAGCATGCCACAGAACAGAAGCTTCCAGAAAATGAATTTATGGGATGCTGCCTTTAGTTTAGTTTAGATACAAATTTATTGCAAACCCAAACAAAGGAAAAAGGTCCTTCTAGAACTTAACCTAATTTTCTTCTTTTCAGAGTAAAATATTTGGGAATAATCCCATATAGAAATGGTGAAGAATTGATCAGAAGCCATACATTTTGCCATTACACAAGAAAACAGTGAAAAAAATGATACATGCTACTGAAAAGTTGTTGTTGGAGGATCCAAACAGAACAAGATAGATTTTCACCAATATAACAAGCAACAATATTATTTGGAAATGAACACAACCTTCACATCAAACATATTCACTGGATCTTCATTTTACCCTGAAATATTAAATTCTGCAAATCCTGAGATTATTTAGAGAGAATCTAAACCATTTTCTCAGCCTTGGGCTCCTTTATCTTCGAAAGAATCCATGCTGAACATAAATTTCTACAAATCCTGTTATGCAGCTTAAGTGTTTATTCAAGAACCCTACATGTTTTAGAAAAGGTGAAGGAGAAACTAATGCAGATAGCAAAGCCACAGAGGAGTCTGGGAATTCAGTACTGTGTGGAAATCCATGTTCATAGCTATATAAACTCTGTATTATAGTTCCTGTTGTAGTTGGGATGGCCTGTTGGAAATGGAAGAGAAGAAATCTACACAGGAACTGTGGGTTGGTGTCTCATTTGTAAAGGGCTGCAAAAGAAGTTCTGTAAATTTTAAGGCCTGTTCACCATGGGGGAAAACTATAACCATTTCCAGTAGATTGCCAAAGCAGCTCAGTTTTCATTTATCCTCTTGGTTTGATGAAGGCTGTTTCCAATAGCCATATCTAGAACGCACACACATGTATAATAAAAAGTGCAGGATATTTGCAACACTAACTTGTATATTGCAGTTTAACAATGCATGTTACAATCTACAGCAGATTTGCTAAATTAAATACCTTGTGGACCACTTATTGACACAGCATCCAGAACAAGCACAAATAGGTATACCGTTGCTAATAGAACATCTCCCTCAGCATCAAGCAGTACCTGTGAATTTGCCAATAATAGAAGAAAATTGGGAATACTCACATTGCTACCAAAATTGCTGAAAGCACTGTAGCTAAGCTAACTAAGTTTGGCAAGTATGTCCGGTCATAAGACTATTATGAAACCATTTTCCAAAGCACAACCTAAAGAACATTTTCAGCATAATGACCCATTCTATGTGCTTATCCTCATGTCTTCCTTTTAGTTCCAGTTTACAAATAGTGTTTTTCTACTTCTCCCAACACAAATCTTTTCCTGGAAATAACATACTATGCTTTGTGGAGTATTCTGGTGATGACACAGTTTCTGGTCCCTACCCAACTAGTACTGGCCAAAACCATTTCAGGTTTGGAAATGCATCTTCTTTGAAACATTGGACTATTCTTCCAGACATCGTTGTGATTTTAGAGATGTCATCAGTGAGAGAAGCACTGGCACAAACATAAAAATAAAAATAGATGCTCAGTCATGAATCTTTCTTTGCGAAAAGAAACATATTTCTCCCTTAAAGTTCTTACTGAACATTTTGTTTTCTTCAAGCAAATGGGTAAAAGCACTCCTGTTTGCCTAAATAACTGGTCCTGCTGCTCCCACCCCAAACACTAATAGGTTTGCACGGAAACACAGTTTCCTAGAGGATATGAATACAATTTGTCTCTTTTTTCCTTCTTCTTGGTCCCAGAAAAAGAATTAAATTGGAATAGGACTGGCATCCTCTTCTCTGGCAGTATGTGCTAGGAAACACTGTTAAGTTTCCAAAGCTAAACTACAGCTTTTTTGGAGAAACATAAAATATAAAAGTTCCCACCTTCAGTCTTCCGTAATGAACACAACACCTAGAATAGTCTGAGATCACTGAGAAGAACCAAAGGAGAAAATTAAAAAGTGAAGGATATTCTTAGGCCACAACTACCCAGACAGTGTTAGCTTAACTTCATACAAGATTGGATTTAAGGCTAAATTTAACCCAAATGACTAGAAAAATTAATACTTGGGGGGAGCAGAGGTTTCTCATAATACACTAATTGGCTTTATTAAGCATTCTATAGGAATTGAGCATAAAATTATGAATTCAGTAGTTAAGTCAGAATCCATTACATTTATATTGGACGTTGAATAAAATCTTGGTCTGCAGTGTATGAAAAAGGATTTGCTCTTTCTGATATTGGCCAGATCACAACTTGTCAAGCTTGTCAAAATAGGAATACGTTGAAACAAATCCATAATTTCCTTGAATATCCAATATGCGAAATTATTCATTTATATTACTGAAATTCACTATTGCCCCACCCTGGGTGGGTAATTGTAAGTGCCAGTGTGTGTTTGTGTGGCCGGGGAGTTCAATCAACCATGCTGGATCAGCAGGGTACTTAAGGTCCACACCCTTCAACAAGGCCTTCATCTTTAGGGCAGCTTCTTTTCAAAATAATAAGATAAAACAATGCCAACGAAATGTTTCCAGACAGATGATTGATTTGCATCAGTTTGGGGGAAGAGTGTCTAATTTATTTTTGGAGGTGCTAGCGAATGCACTTTTCCTATGTTTTATCCTCTAAAGACTGTTACTGCATTATATTATTTTTGGGAAAATGACAAATAGAACATGAGTCTCAGGAGACCTAGTAATATAAATCTGCCCATCCCAGTTTTTTTTTTTTTAAATTGACTTCTTGGGTATGTAACATAATAGTTGCCACAAAGACTGTCATAATCAGGAATAAAATTATGTGGGCTGATAGGAAGCAAGCGAGAGAGGAATGAATGCAGGAGCCATCGGAAAACACAAGGTTCGTTGGGGGGGATGATAATTCTAATTCCAATAGTTGCCCAATACTAATTCCTCTGCTCTTTTAATAAAACTGTTAAGTTTTAGCAGTGATGTGAATAAATATTCCAACTCTCTTTTATGTGAGAGAAGGCGGCTTTATAAATTGGACAAATAAATAAATCTGTACTGGCTGTTGCAGTATTTTGGCTGCCATCGTTTTACAGCACTCATGGTGCTGCTTTTTGGGCAAGGCATGGTATAAATGACTCAGGCTTGCTGGTCACAAAAGTTTCCTTCTATGAGAGAGGAGGAGAGGAGAGAAAGGGGTGCACTGCATGCCACTGTAACATCTTTTGTGATGATGGAGGCAAAGAAATTATATTCGGGTGGCAAGAAACTGCAAACCACAGAAAATCTTTGCAACTGGCAAGCAAAAAGGCAGCAATCCATCTTAGGAGTATAAGTAGGCCACAGATTTATTCAATTTAGAACATTATGAAGTCAAAGATGTAGGAGGTGGAACACAAAAGGATTTATCCCCTTGTTTACCAGAGGATCTGGTCTGGCTGAGTTTTCTATTATGGGAGGCCCTCAGTCTGATTTTATACTGGGGATGAATTTATTTATTTTATTTTATTTATTTTATTTTATTTATTTATTTATTTATTTTATTTATTTGATTTGCCAATTGTTTACAAGATAATAAGTATAAGTGTATACATAGTTGTGAATACATGAAATGGGTACATATAAGAAAAATAAAAGAAGAATAAGAGAAACAATAGGACAGGGACGGTAGGCACGTTGGTGCGCTTATGTACAAAACTAGCTGAAAAAGTCAAGGTAATTCCAGCATCTGCCAAGATACTCACAGATATACAGTAATTTCATATGTGTGTCTATTAATTTGAATGAACACTAGAAAAACAAGTGGAGTTTATAGTGGACATTAAAATAGCCAAGGTATTTTTCTTGTGGAAAATATTCTGCCCAACTGCAACAGAGGATGGTCAGGAACTAATAATCAAATTCTATCAAATGACTGAAGGAATTAGGAAATGTTTAGCCTTGAAAAAATTCTGGAGGATATGATAACACTCCTCAAATACTGGATTTCACACACAAATCTCTATTCATCTCTATAGAGATGAAACAGTGGAATAAAGACAACTATTTCATAGAGCCATTCACACAAAACTAATTAGCCAGATAGATGGACTGCTCTTAGTTGGCTACATTCAAATGAAATTTAGAGAGACATTACTCAGAAATGCTTTGCTTCAGATATGAGAGCATTGGGTAGAATTTCAACTCAGTAGCACCAATGAGACACTTCAGTTCATCCCAAGGAACACAAAACAAAGTTTATTTTGTAATATTTATAACCCATCTAATCTTAACAGATCCTGGGTTGCACTTCATTTTCTAACAGAAAGTTAATCTTCAGCCTGTCTGGATGGCATTAAAAAACTAATTCTTGTCTCCAAAGGAATGGCTATTGATGTCTGGAATAATCCTTTGATTTCAAGAAAGGGTACTTGGTAGGTAGTTGGTAGTTCAGTTAACTGAAGTCAAGATACATATGATTAGGCTTTATATCAGTGATAATGAGCCCATGGTGCTGTACAACAAACATCAATGAATACAACAATAACATAAACAATGGACATCTTTTTAAAATATAAACATATTTTTTTAAAAAAAGTCAATGCAGCTATTTTTGCACATTTTTCCACTTCCTCTTTAAAATATGTAAGATAATTTTTGAGCATCAATGCCCTGCCAACTATCTATCATGCTCAATGTCTATTCTTGGCAGAGATGTGAAAGATTTAAAACCATTATATCACAATAAAAAGGAAATGATCCTACTTCCTCTGTAGACTTGTGTAACACATATTTCTATTGTTGGAACTTCACTAAAAATGAGTTCACCAATGATACTGAAACATAATCACTCTTACAAACAATATCAGGAATGTTCGCACACTGCGCCTAGCCTAACATTATCTAAAGGTGAATGATTTAAGAGATCCAGCACCAGATAACAAAGAAAACTAAGGTAGCTCAATTTAGAAGGGGACTATTTACCTCCTTTCTCACACCTTTGTGACTTCATTTCCTTGTTCTCCATTATCTGGAAGCCAAAGAGTCAGTCACTTTGAAAGAAAACGAGGTTCAGACAATTCAGGATTTTAACCAGAAAAGTAATTTTGCTATTGAGTATAAAAAATACTTCAGATACTTTGCCTCAATTGTATTTTGTTGTATTGTTTTTCTGGTCACTTGTTAATGCTTAGACTATTGGTTTTTTTTAAACAAAAAGTTCCAAAAGTTTTTATGAAACCTAATCTACCTTTCTAAGAATTAACAACTAAAAAGATACCCATTTGACATCCTAATCAACAAACTGAATTATAGGAATATTTGCTCAAACTCTGAATTGAACAATTATGATTAACCCTATAGAATAGGTGCTGAATGAAAAGTAGAATTATAGTATTTCTAACTTTTTATTAGTATCATGAGGAATGATTAACAAAAAATGTTTCTATAGTGGGTAGTACTGCAGCATTTGAATCATGCCTGATTGAAGCAACTACTTATATATCATTCTAAGTATTTATGGAGAAGGTTTCCTATATTGTATAGTATGACAGCTTGGGCTGTTTGATTTCAGCTATTCAAATTTTGTAGTACTTGTCTAAATTCTTCACTTAAGGGGAAGAGCATAAAGTGAACAATATTCTATGTATTTTCTACTAATTTTCATTAAAAGTAAAACAAGTCTCCATTATATGCTGAGTCCCACTCTCTGGCCAGCCAATCTCTACAAAGATGGAGCTGGAGAAGATACAAATGAGCAATTCAGTACTGTAATCAATAAAAATTGTGGGCTTTGATCTATGAAAGAAAAAAGCAACTGAGCTGGAATACCTAGACAGTATATGAATACAAAATTTGGAACAAACAGTAAATTTAGAATGAATACAAAAAAACTACTTATTTGTATAATGTAAACCCAAGTTACAGAATTGATCACACAAATGCAATTATAGCCAATATATTTTTGTAAACAAAGAGGTTGGCTCTTAATTACAACAGCATAAAAATTTCACATTCAGCAGCAATATAGTTAGAAAATCAATTGTTAGAAATAAACATGTAGAATCACTGTATCATGCCTAGCAAGGAAAAGCTTTCTTACCAAGTCAGAGAGGCAGAAATTACAGTTTATGGCAGTGATCCACAACCTTTTTTATGCCGCGGCCCGGTACCGGCATCAGCTGGGCGCCGCGGCCCGGTACCGGCATCAGCTGGGCGCCGCCATCTTTTTTTGATGAAAAAGTGCTTCCGGTGACCTCACCGGAAGCACGTTTTCATCAAAAAAAGATGGCGGCGCCAGCGCTTCCGGTGAGCTTTTCCGGGTAGAAATGGCTTTCTACCCGGAAAAGCTCACCGGAAGCACTTTTCATCAAAAAAAGATGGCGGCGCCCAGCAAGCCAGCGGCCTGGTAGGAGTTGTTCCGCGGACCGATGGTTGGGGACCCCTGGTTTATGGGATGTATGCAGCCTGACTCTAATCCCCTTTTTACAGCTCCCACAGATTTCCATATCAGATTTTTTGTTTTTTGGCATGAGGCAAGATTTTGTCCTAAAAACAGCTACCAGCTACCAGCTCTGACCCGATTCACTTTCAAGGGAAGTTGCATATTTCTTGACTAAATCAAAATTTACTCATCTTTTGTTATGTAAGTCACAATTGGTTTGGTACATACCCCATATTAAGCTAACCTGTGGCAACTGCACTGCTCAAAAAAATAAAGGGAACACTTAAACAACACAATGTAACTCCAAGTCAATCACACTTCTGTGAAATCAAACTGTCCACTTAGGTAGCAACACTGATTGACAATCAATTTCACATGCTGTTGTGCAAATGGAATAGACAACCGGTGGAAAGCATAGGCAGTTAGCAAGACATCCCCAATAAAGGATTGGTTCTGCAGGCGGTGACCACAGACCACTTCTCAGTTCCTATGCTTTCTGGCTGATGGTTTGGTCACTTTTGAATGCTGGCAGTGCTTTCACTCTAGTGGTAGCATGAGACGGAGTCTACAGCCCCACACAAGTGGCTCAGGTAGTGCAGCTCATCCAGGATGGCACATCAATGTGAGCTGTGGCAAGAAGGATTGCTGTGTCTGTCAGTGTAGTGTCCAGAGCATAGAGGCGCTACCAGGAGACAGGCCAGTACATCAGGAGACGTGGAGGAGGCTGTAGGAGGGCAACAACCCAGGATCAGGACCGCTACCTCCGCCTTTGTGCAAGGAGGGACAGGAGGAGCACTGCCAGAGCCCTGCAAAATGACCTCCAGAGGGCCACAAATGTGCATGTGGCTGCTCAAACGGTCAGAAACAGACTCCATGAGGGTGGTATGACGGCCCGACATCCACAGGTGAGGGTTGTGCTTACAGCCCAACACTGTGCAGGATGTTTGGCATTTGCCAGAGAACACCAAGATTGGCAAATTCGCCACTGGCACCCTGTGCTCTTCACAGATGAAAGCAGGTTCACACTGAGCACATGTGACAGACGTGACAGGGTCTGGAGACACCATGGAGAACGTTCTGCTGCCTGCAACGTCCTCCAGCATGACCGGTTTGGCAGTGGGTCAATAATGGTGTGGGGTGGCATTTCTTTAGGGGGCCGCACAGCCCTCCATGTGCTCGCCAGAGGTAGCCTGACTGCCATTAGGTACCGAGATGAGATCCTCAGACCCCTTGTGAGACCATATGCTGGTGCGGTTGGCCCTGGGTTCCTCCTAATGCACAACAATGCTAGACCTCATGTGGCTGGAGTGTGTCAGCAGTTCCTGCAAGACGAAGGCATTGATGCTATGGACTGGCTCACCCATTCCCCAGACCTGAATCCAATTGAGCACATCTGGGACACCATGTCTCGCTCCATCCACCAATGCCACATTGCACCACAGACTGTCCAGGAGTTGGGGAATGCTTTAGTCCAGGTGTGGGACGAGATCCCTCAGGAGACCATCCGCCACCTCATCAGGAGCATGCCCAGGCATCGTAGGGGGGGTCATACAGGCACGTGGAGGCCACACACACTACTGAGCCTCATTCTGACTTGTTTTAAGGACGTTACATCAAAGTTGGATCAGCCTGTAGTGTTTTTTTCCACTTTAATTTTGAGTGTAACTCCAAATCCAGACCTCCATGGGTTGCTAAATTTGATTTCCATTGATAATTTTTGTGTGATTTTGTTGTCAGCACATTCAACTATGTAATGAAGGAAGTATTTAATAAGAATATTTCATTCATTCAGATCTAGGATGTCTTATTTTTGTGTTCCCTTTATTTTTTTGAGCAGTGTATAATAAAGCTTAGTGTGATGGACCAATCTAACAAAGGAGATCTTATCTTCCATTTTTAGATGACTGAAGATACAAAGCTAGTATTCAGGCAAAGCTGCTGATACTGATGTTGCTGGGTCTGTGCTTGCATTCTCACACACATACCCCTAGCTTATGAAAACGAAGCTATAAGTGGTATTGTACAGGTAGTCCTCGACCTACAATAGTTCATTTAGTGACTGTTCGAAATTATACCAGCACTGAAAAAAGTGACTTATGACCTTTTTCACACTTACGACTATGGCAGCATCCTCATGGTAATCAGATTCCCATGGCCAAAATTCAGATGCTTGGCAACTGACTCATATTTATGACGGTTGCAGTGTCCTGGGGTCATGTGATTACCTTTTGCAACCTTCTGACAAACTAACTCAATGGGGAAGCCTGATTCACTTAGCAATCTTCTAATTTAATAACTGCAGTGATTCACTTAACGAATGTGGCAAGAAAGGATGTAAATGGGGAAAAACTCACTTAACAAATATCTCACTTAGTAACAGAAATGTTGGGTTCAATTGTGGTCATAAGTTGAGGACTACCTGTTGTCAGGGTTCTAAAATTGCTTCAATTAGGTCAGCTTCAGGGTTGACATCTATATTCCTAAACTTGTGTTTTGAAAATAATTAGCACAAACTTTCTCGGCAAGTGTTACTTTGTGTGTTAATACTTGCACTTGAAAAGCATAAGCTGAGGAAAACACAACTGGGTCCTCTTGCTTTAAAAATCCCAGAAAACAGTTGCTTCCATTTTGTATTCCCACTTCTATATTTTCAGGTTCCTGTTGACACAATCAAATCAAATAGCCCTTTCCTTCCCACTTCCACCACGAATAAAACTGTCCAATTGTTCATAGGCATAAAGTACACAACTATGGACAGAAGCCAATTACTTTTGTAGCGGGAAAGATCTAATCTTAAAGAAAAAAGGATTCCTAAATTTAAAAAAAAAAACAGGCACAATTTGTTCCATAAAATTCAAGCCAATGCAAATCACACATAACTGGGAAAGAAAAAATATAACTAGAAAAACTTGTTGGCAAATATTAATGGTTGTGCGGTATGAAGAAATATTTATTTAAAAGATGCCTTTGGGTCTTTGATTTACTGAATGTTCATCAGCACAAGCTACAACTAGTGAAGCGTGCCAGCCTTGCCCTTCCGTCTTTCCAAGAAATTGGATCTTCTTTTTCTCAAGTCTGATTCCTTAGCTGGTTGCTAAGTTCATGCAATTCCATCATCAAATTCTCCATTTCTGCCACTTCTTCAGTGAGGTCGCTGGAAATTTCATCACTTGCAGCATCTGCAAAATTTTGCTACACAAGAAAGTTAAAAGCAATTTTTACGGGAAACCTTAGGCTAAGTAAGGCACAAGATTAAAAAAAAAAATCAAACCACAATTGTTTCCATAACTTCTGTGATCTCATTTCTTTATGGCATCTACACAAGATTACTCCCAGTCCAAAGGCAGCATCCTGGTGGTGTTCCTCTGTGGGCAACAAATGAGGAATATCTCCCTATGTAATATTAACCTGTTAAGTTTTCAATCTGCAAGCCAAGTGAAGCAGATTCTAACATTTGTGTCAAAATTCTAAAAAAAAAATGGGGGGAGCAGAACTTCGTTGCAAGGTACAGTACGATCAGCTTTCAAAACAGATTCTTCAGAAATTTCAGTGCTAAACCTTGGGCAGAAAAAATCTTCTGGGTGTACTTTGGATAAAATTTAGGACTTTTATTGCCTAGCAATCTGTTCCATAAAGGAGGGTGCAAAACTGCTTTCCAGGCTTAAGGTCTCACATAGCTTTGAAGTGCTTATCAGGGGTTTTGCTATAAAAACAATAGCAAGGCCAGTGCAAACATCAACATTCAAAATTAAATTACATTTACTTTCCATAGTTAATAAGATTTGTTCTATAGCAAATTAATAATTAGTTCACTCCTACTAACAATTAAAACCTTGCTGACAACTTTAGGAGAATTCTGAGGACCAAAGGCACTGGAGGCTAGACATATAGTCTTGGGTCTACACATTTTTATCAATTCCTTGTGTATGCATTAATTGTTTTAGTAAACCTTTAGTAAACCTTATCAATGGCAGAAAATATCTCATCCACTTGGGACTGAAGTGAGAATCAGGCATTCTCTTGGATGAGTGGATAAAAAGGAACATGAGCAACAGGAAAGAGCAGAAACCATGACAACTATGTCACTTCTCTTCTGTTGTAACTTTAGATTGCAGGTTACCTGCATCTACTGATAAAATTTGAAAGGTAGGTAAGAATGGATGGGATGAATGAACTATGAGCTTCCCAATGAACAAATGCAAGGATGCTGCACTCATGAGACCACAGTAAGAGATATCCTAAGATGCTTCTAAGAGAACAATGCCACAAGTCCTTCCATTTCCTGAACCCACCTCGTCTCTTCACAACTGTTAAACTACCGCATTCCTGCTGTACCACTGGAAGAAAATGTCATAATTTTTTTCTTAAGAAGCAGTCTGTTCTTTAAAGACATACAATAGAAAGGCATTTATAGCTATTGAGTGCAATACAATTCTCACAATTCCGTATTGCGAACAGGGATACCTCTCCACCCCACCTTTCACTGTACAGAAGAGGTGATACAATTCCTCTCCAGATGTGCTGTAATGCAGCTCCAATTTCCTAGCCATCTAGCCAGTCATTGGCCATCTGATTAGAAATCCTGGGATTCATATTCTTAAAGTATCTGGGGTGCCAGAGTTGAGGAAAGTGGAATTAACAAAACCAATAAATCTTGCAAACATCAGCTGTAGCTCATGGATAAACCTCTCTCTGTGTTCCAGAAAACCCTTTAATGAAGTCCATCAGCCTTACCTTTGCTTTGGCAACCAAACTGCGCAAGTTGAGTCGGGCAGAAGAGAGTATTGGCAAGGCTTCTTGGTAATTAGTTTTCATTTTGCTACATTTCATTGCAACTGGAATTTTAAAAGGCAAAACAAAGTTGTGTGACTATCACAATAATAGCATGGCTGTTATAAATGACTACTCAGCTCTGTTACTTCAATACGGGGAGAAAAAGTTTCCTAATTCATTAAAAGGATAAACATTAAATATAAGGCAATAGTCTGCAATTGTTATTACAAAGGGAATTACTGCCATTACAGCATTAATTTTGTTCCCTCCAAAATATGTTGACTTCACATGTAGTCCAGAAGTATAACTGGAATGTAGAACTTTGTGATGTCATTTAAGGCTGCAGCCTATGTTGCTGACTTGTAAGAATTGTTTTTCATATATCTTATTTAATAATGCATACAATTAGAATGCTTGCAATGAAACATTGCAATGATCCTATTCAAAATTCCAGCTAGCCCTGTCCTCTTCTGTGATCTATCGGCCAACATTGATTGCTCTCAAAATGTATTTCCTGTCTTTTAACAAAATGTACCAACTATCATGCCAGTTAATACTTCTCTGTTGTTTGTAAATGATGCTATTTTGGCTACCTAAGTGTCAGTATCACAGTACTGGAATCTTCAAGCAAATGTTTCTGTGTGGAATACTCCATGATATTCTTCCAGTCAGCTATGTCCTCTTTCACAATTCTTCATTGTTCTTCTCACCCCATGTTGGTTTTTACTCTTAGCTAGTTAAACTTAGAATCCAATGTCAAATGTGTTCAAGACCTGAGATTGTTAATGTCTAGCTCTGCTATGGGGTAAAACTAATCTCCCTTCCTTTCAGGGGTGGGATTCAATTTTTTTAACAACTGGTTCTGTGGGCGTGGCTTGGTGGTCATGTGACTGGGTGGATGTGGCTTGGTGGTCATCTTATTGGCTGGGTGTGGCCAACTCAATATCACTCACTTTGAGGCACCATCTCCTCGCTTGGCCTCTTATGACTGTGGAGATGCTGCAACAGTCGTAAGTGTGAAAAAAGGTCATAAGTCACTTTTTTCAGCGCCATTGTAACTTTGAATGGTCACTCCACACAAGCAAAGTACTAGCAAAGGAGGGGGGAAAAACTCCAGAGACGTTCCAGAGACAGGAAGTCTAGTCCTACCAAAAATGTAATAAGGGTTAACAGAGAGGCAGTTTCTGTAAGCAACACCAGAATGTTTCCTTCCTGCCTTCCTTACAGGATTAGGCCAGTAATTTCTTCTAACAACTGGTTCTCCGAACTGCTTAGAATCTTAACAACCGGTTCTAGTGAATAGGTGCGAACTGGTAGAATCCCACCTCTGCTTCCTTTCCCTTTCCTTCCTCCATCCATCCACTGTGTCTCAAGAGAGCTCAGAGGTGCACATTTCCATGCTCCCTCTTCTAGAAGGTGTTTGGGATTTTTAATTGTTTGCTTTTTGCACACACCCATTCAGATACAGAATATAAAATAAGATACAAGCAATGTGCTTTCTATTTTCCATTTAATGGGGTTATGGACATTTTGATTATTGTAGGACCTCTGACATCTTGAACCAAGAAAGAGATTATTTCATTTTGTTCTCAATATTTCAAAGTTAGAAAGGCTGAAGGTGATGGCACCCAATTCTAAGTAGCTTTGACTATCCAATTTTTTATGGCTGCTCTATATCATCTACCATTTCATTCACTGTAGGGTAGCCTAATGTTTTGTCCTTCTCCACTCTTAATGCACATCAATGGCATCCAATGGTTGGAAGTGTCATCAGAGGCATCTGTAATCATGATGTCCACTTATCTGCTTTATCAGGACTCATGACTATCATGTTACATCATGGCATTATGTTTTATATACGCTCTTATATATGAGAAGAGAAAACCAAATGTAATGTCATAATTTTCAGAATCAGATGGACATTTAAACTTCTAGCTTGTGCCCTAGAAACACGAGAATCTTCTAAGTTCATTATTCCCCCCCTTTTTAAAAATGACTTTTGGAACTGACATTGAAACATATATGTATCAAAATCCCTATGCTGTGATGTCAATATCCCAACGTTTAGCTCTGTGATCACACTAGATTTCAGTGTCTAAAACCTCAGCAAACTCTAGAAACTGTGAAGGGCCTAAGTAAAAAAAAGGAAAAAAGGAAAATAATAATAATGATTTAATGCTTTGATTCAGCATGCTGTAATAAAAACATATTTTATCCATCCCCCCCACTGTATCTTCTGTTTCTAATAACAAGAACTGCTTTCTCAACTTTTTGAGGCCTGGAATCAACTTTTAATTTCAACCTTTTCGTTATTGCTTACTTTCTGCAATGGTAGAAAAAAAAACAGGTAAACCTGACTGAATCAAGCACAACTTATGTTGACTACATAGAGAAAATAATGAGGTTTTGATGGCAATATAACAAAAGGTTTAGCAGATCTGCTAAGCTTCTAATCACTGACATTTTTTTTTTACTTCAGACAGTTGCCACATCTCAGTTCCCCTTCCCTCAACTATTTCCCTGGAACTTATATTCAGGTGTATGGACTGCTATATCCATTGCTTATTGTTTCGATAAAAAGTACTTCAGAAATAGGTAATCAGCTGTGACTTATATCAACATTTTCATATAGGACATACCATGTGCAAGCTCTAGAGCATCTCTGGCTACTTTCTTAAAAGAGGAAGTATCTTTGTCCCAGTCACCTGATTGGATTTCATATTTGTATGCTTTGGTGAGATACTGCAATGCCTGCAATGATAGAGGTACCATGCACTTAAAAGTAAAGTTGCGTTAGTTTTACGCATACATGCCAATCCCCTTCTATAAAGCATATTAACTGATAATACTTTATTATAAAGTTCTTCAGCTTTAAAGCAGTCTCTTTCTTTGCAGCTGTAACACAGATGTTTTAGTTGTTTTTTCTCTCTCAAGTATGACAGACATATAAGTAGCATATGGTTAAGAGACAATTTTTAAGTTAAAAAAAATCTGTCTAGACAGATGCATGTGACCCATATTTTGCTGGGTCATTGTATTTAAATGCATCTGAAAGTAAAAAAGCACTTGTATTTTCATAATTAGAGCCATTGTACGCCTAAATAAGGTGCCAATTTTACTCTGAATTAATTTTGCAATTTGGAAAGAGCAATTTGGACTTTAAAGATGAGTAGAAATTTAAGAGAAGGGTCTAAAACTAAGCAAAAGCACAAATGAAGAAAGTCGCCTTTGGCAAGATGGGCAGCATATAAGTTAAACAAATAAAATAATAAATAAAAGAACAACAATAAAATAAGTCTAGCAATTTTCCAAATCCAAACATTTAGTCTCTATGCTAAAAAAAATTTCAAAGCCTTCTCGATAATGTTTTCAATTTTGGCAATCTATTATACACAACAGAATTTGGTATTTGATATCACTGCTGGTTTATGTTAGTTTTCTCATAATTAATTGAATAGCATGCTGTTCCGATTACTCTGCTTCACAAACTAAAAAAAGAAATGTTTACAGCAAAAGGTTATATCTGCTATGGGGATTAACTTAGAAAGAAAGTGGGCAAAGGGGAGATCAGAAAAAGACATATATATTATGCAAGACGCAGAAAGTGTGAACAGGGATAATTTTATCTTACTCTCAATATTAGACCTCCTACTCATTCATCTAAGTTAAATATGAGGAATTTCAATACCAATAAAGGGAACTTGATTTTTACACCCGGTCCTCAGGTTAACTGATGAAGCGATCACTATTAATTTAATTATGAAAAAAGGGGTGGATTAGGGCATTAATAACCTTGGGAAAAAGCTCTCTTCTTTCCATAACTGAAAACACGACAGCAACTTGAACATGAGGGAAATTGACTTGGTTGTGCACATTAGACATTAAACTAACTAAACTGGTAAGTAGTTTTTGTACTATTGTGATCTGGTTTGCATACTTTAAGGCACGGGTGTCAAACTCGATCACATCACGTGACATATCGCAATATTTTTTGCCTTTGCTGAGTGTGGCCTGTGCATGACGCATCCAGTCTGTGGGCCACCAGTTTGACACCCCTGCTTTAAAGTATAAAAGTATGTTACATTTTTCAGAACCTAGATAAATTCTTCTTGACTCCTGCTCATAGGGACATTTAAAAATTCCTTTGGCTCCCCAGAAAATTCCTGAGAAAGAATTTTCCACTGTGAAATGACTTCATGTTCTTCACACTGGGGATTAAGAATACCAACTTGTTCAGTTTTAGCCTGGCAGTTCCCATCTGGAATGTGACTGCTGACATACCCAAATGAGTCTCTTATTTTATTTCTTTAGCCTTAAGTATGAACAGAAAACTATGGCTTGTATCTTTCCTAACAAGCAATTTCATAAGCTAAGATGAAGTCACAACATATGGCTTTTGACTTAAGGAAGAAACAAATTAAGAGTCCCCACTTCGTGCATACTGCTAAACATACCATGGTTGGAACATGTCAGCTGTATCTGCTGGCAGGAAGAGCCAAGTGGGAGCAACTGGGCAATGTGCACAGCCAGCTTATTCATTAGAAATGTCACATATTGTGATAACTTAATGTAGCCCATGAATTCCATTTCCTGATACTCTACATGCCATCAATATTTGAGAGATGGAGATGATGGCAATCAGGATACAGGCATTGGAAAAGCAAACAGTGACACAATCTTACATCAAAGCAAAACAGAACAAAATTAAACAAAACAAGAACTTACAGCATTATGATGTAAGCCACAGAGCCATTTCACACTTTCAATTGACACAGTTTGATGCTCAACTAAATACAGAAACAGACCGAGTGGCAAAAATAAACCAACCCTCCAGATGCTTCCCTGTCTTAAGAAACATAAAATGACATATGACTTTGACTCTTGAAATGGAATTTTCAAATCACCACGGAGGATGTCACTTGGGGGAGGATTAGGCAGGCTGGGATGGATCTCTATGAGAAACAGCCGCATGGCGTGACACAGATGAGGAGGAAGAGTTATGTTACCAACATGAAGCTAGATGACAGAATGTTTGAATTCAGGTAAAATATTCAGGATGTGTATAAACAAACACCCATCAGAGCTCATTATTTTGGTGACAAAGGAGGATTCCCCTTCCCCTTCTTATTGTGTAATATTTTTATGAGCAATTCAGACACTTTTGGAATTGGATCTAGTGAACGATTCATGGAATCTTTGATATCTCATTGCGACATGTTTGCAAGTCACTCAGATCCTCTCTGAAAATAACAGTGATAGCAGAGACTTCCAGAACAATGTCTGCTCCTGTTTTATTACATGTTTTCAGTCATTGGTGCCTGAAGATACGGTCCAGGGGGTTCTGAATGACCACTTATCTCTTCCTGTCTTTTCTCTTGTGCCTTATGTTACCGAGGTGATGAGAGACTGATTTTAGAAAGTTATAAATGTCTCTTGGAAAGACTGCAAATAGTCCAGAGAATGTATCTATTACAAAATATAGCTGTATGATTATTAATGGATATGGAAAATGAGATCAGATCGTGGCAGTAAAATTATGCCCTTTCTGAGTTCAATTCAAAGCACTGGCTTTAATCCTTAAAACCGCTTTCAGTTGCAAAACCAATCTACCCCACAGATCTATTGAAACCTTAAGAATCTTCATTGAGATCTTCATCCAGACCATCTCATAAATATATAAAGTGGTTAGCCCTTTACATTCTGTCACATTTTTTAAAATTATGATTTTAGGGCTGTGAATTTAATCTACTTTTTAAACATCTGCCATTAAAAAATGATATGTAACAAGGGGAGGGGAGAAATTTACAGCCTTCAAGCTCTTCTTTGTGTTCACCATGGCTGAAAATTGATAGAATTATATCTCATTATGTTAATGAAGGAAGCAATATGAAAACTGCAGCAAAGGATCTGCAATAGACTTAACTAGGTTTAAAAACATGTCTAAAACAAGGAAAAAGGCCACATTTGCATCCTTGTCCTGCCCACGGTGACCCTTGTGATCTTAAATGTTACGTATGCCCCTGACTATCAAATGTTGTCAAGCTCACTTTATAATTTGGTTATTATGTTTTCCTTAATGCTGTATGCTGCAATATATTGTTTTTATTTATTTTATTTTGATGGACTCCATTGGCCATCAGTCCCATATGGCATAGCCAATGGCCAAACAAAAGAAGAATGATATTTCATTACCTGTTGGTACAGGTATTTCTACTCCCTGTTCTATTGTAAAAGAATCAGACAACTTAAGCAGTATTTCTCAACCTTGGCCACTTTAAGTATGTGGACTTCAACTCCCAATTGTGCTCTTCAGCCAGCGCAGCACAATTCTGGGACTTGAAGTCCGTACTGCTTAAAATGATCAAGGTTGAGAAACACTGACTTAAGGAATTCTTTAAGTTCCACAGTATTTTGAATGCTGCAAACATCACCTTACATTCAGAGTTTAATGCTTCTTTTATATCAATACCAAGAGATTCATCTTAAATCTTGAGTCCTGAAGTGAGAAATTGGAGTTATTTATGTGAGATTTATGCAATTTGGAAAAAAAAAACTGAGCATGATGAAGCCAAAATAGATAGCCTCAATGGAAAGCCCATGGTTTAGCCATTGGTTTTCTTTGGCAGTGGATAAAAATGCTATAATATTTGATCAACATCACATCACAAGAACAAATGTGCATATTTCAACTTTTTCACTATTTCTTCATCTTGCTTTATTCATTGCTGCTTTAGAAAGCCTTCTAACGTTTTTCTGGGCAATGTAAGGGCTACAACAAAAAGAAAATTAAAATTAAAAAAACATTTATTCAGTGAAGGTACCGTTAGGGAATCAAGTTTGTGATTTACTAATTTGAGGATCTCTATTTCTGAAATAAATAGAAATGACTATTTTAAATTATTAAACATCTTAATAATTCTTTTGGTTTTATTTCACAGAATGTATATATGAAAAGAAGGCTAGAATAAGGTTACATGACTGCATCACTTAGCAATAACAATTTTAGCAGTTCTGGTTGCCAGCATTAAGTTTTGACTGTGCGGGTCAGGGTAGCAAACTCAAATTCATTGAGGGCTGGATCAGGGTTGTGTTTGACCTTGGGGGGCAGCGTGCCAGGGTAGGCGTGGCCAACTTGACGTCACTTGTTTTGGTGGCTAGAGCACTCTGCCAGAGAAAACAGACTCCTGAGCTCCATTTTCAGCTGCGATGGCGTCCTGCAACCCTCTGCCAGAGAAAATGGAGCTCGGGAGGACCGTGGGGGCTTCTGTTTTCACTGGCAGAGGCATCGCGGGCCACTGTTCCCAGGGCGGCCCCATGAGCCAGATCCAGCCCCGGGCCTTGAGTTTGACACTCCTGGTGTGGGTCATTAAGTAAGGACATCACATGATCATAACTTCTGACTTCCTGTCATGTTTCTCATTGACTTTGCTTGTGGGAGGGAATGTTGGAAATCCCAATCAGACAACCACAGATCATTGTGATGTCATAATCATAAACTGGGTGCCTGGATGGCGATCATGTGATCACAGGGATGCTGCAATGGAATTCTAAGGACCAGTTATAAGTCCTCTGTCCAGCACCACTGCAAGTTGGAATAGTCTCTGAACTACTGTCACTTTACATAACCCGACTACCACCTGTATAATCTATTATAATATTTTTATTGCTGTATCCAAACCTAGGCTGTATGGTAGTACTGAAAGCTAATCATATTGTCAATAGCGTCAGTAAAGCAATGGCATTATTGAATGCTCGCGAACAGAAAGGCAGGGAGACAGTTCAATTGATAGAACATTAAAACATAATGTAGTTTCTATGCAAGAAATCAAGAATAAAACTTTGTTCTTTTATTACAAAACACCCCTTCAATAGATTCAAGCTTACTATCTGATGTACTATTGAATGTTTCTAGGTGACATATTTATATAAGATGGAAATGAACTTTGTTTCCATTCCCAATCTGTTTCTCATCCAGTTAATATAGCAAGAATGGATAAAGAAAAATAAAGAAAGAAAATAAAGAAAAACTTACAAATTTCAATCTCAAATGGTAATTATGAGAATTCATGCTCAAGATTTGCAACCTGTTATTTTTATGTAATGGGCACATGGCCAATGTCAACTTTTAAGATGTCTACTTTTTGTTAAGGTGGAGTCTACATTTTCACTGCAGATTATGGGGGTTTACTACTAATTCTGTTCTTTATGTTCTGCACAAACGTCAAAATTTGTTTTCAATTCAATTGTATAGAATGTGAAGGATGTATGTTTGTGTTTTATTTTTATAGCTATAATGTACACTGAAGATGGCATTGAATTTCATTGTACGAGGTGCAATGACAATAAAGTAAAATAAACTAAAATAGTCCTAAGTAAAATATTTTCACAAATCAAGGATGAACTCTTTGTTGTTCTACATCAGGGATGTCAAACTCAAGGCCCATGGGGTGCTTAGATCTAGCCTACAGGGCCGCCCTGGAAACTGTGAAGAACCGACCCACAGTGCATCTGCCAGTGAGCTCCGTTTTCACTGGCAGAGGGTTGCAGGAGGCCATCGCATCTGAAAACAGAGATTGGAAGCCCATTTTTGCTGGCAGAGTGCTCGGGGCTCCACAGGCGCCTCCGATATGAGTGATGTTGACCTGGCTACACCCACCCTGGTCACGCCCACCCCGGCCCCCAAGGTCAAACACAACTCTGTTACGGCCCTCAATGAAATCGACACCCATGTTCTGCATAATGGGCCCCCAAGAATTCAGAAAAAGGATTGCATGATATACATTGTCTGGGTCAATGATTTCATCAATATTTAGGAAAGTATTGCCCAGTATAAATCCATGATCATGAAACAATATTTTGACAGTGTTGCAGTTCTAAAATTATACACCTGAAGGAGAAGGGTTTGGGGAACCAAAGAGTTGAAATAGACCATTTAGTCCATCAAATTTCAATGCAAAAATAAAAATTAATTTACAAATAAAAAATCTTACAAATCCTTATCAAGCCGCTGATTGAACATCTCTCACTAAGAGAACCATAAAATGAATGCTAATCAGTTATAAGAAAGATAAAACTATAAACCATTATGTCTGTCCACTGCAGGAACAACATCTGGCAACAAAATGGATGAGTTCTCCTGCTGTTTGCACATATACCTAAATCTTCTCCAGATGGTTGGGAGATTTCTGGAGTTGATTTAGTGGATATTGGAGGATACAGTGGTCGGGTAGGGAGAGAACAATGGAAAAATTATTTTATCAGTAGAAGTTCACTTGTGTAACATTGGATACAGGCCACAAGCAGAAAATTTATTATTTCCTCTCTTACATGGGGAAGTCTCTTCCAATGGCAATTCTGCTGTCTCAAATGTAGCCTAGGACTGCATTTAAAATGGGAGGGAAAGTGAAATTACAGAGAAAATATACTGAGTTTCTAGATTAAGCCTTGGTGCAAAAAATGCCACCTAGTAACTTTATTTACTACGTGATGAAGAGGGAGAAGCTCTACAGTTTGAAAGAGAACCTGATTGGAATAGTGAACAATTTTATTTTGCCTTTCAGATTGTAACCACCCAATGTTTGCCTAAAATCGGGACAATAAATTTGCATGATTGCCACCAGGAGATAAGAAATTACATGGAGAGGGGACAAAAATCCTTTCCTGGTGGCATGTACTCCCCTGCCCCCACAAGGAAAGAAAAGAAAAGAAAAGAAAAGGCAAAGGGAATATAAAATGATTGTAAGGGAGACTAAATAATACAAGTGAAGAAAGAATTTGGGGGAAAAAAGTATAGTAAAACACATACAAACCTTCCTTGTCTTTTTCTTTTTCTTGATTAATCTCTTGTTCATCTCCCACACAGGACTCCCATATCTACCTAGCATTTCTAATGTTAGATATTATATATGTCCTTTCCATTTTCTGCATTCTGCTAAACATCTCGTTCTACGCACATGTCTGCTTCTCACTCAACTTTCTTATCTTTGTTCTTTTTTCCTATAGTTTTCTCAGTTCTCTCCATATATGGAGGAAGAGTGTCTCACACACTCATCAGTAAAAAGGTACAGCTGTAGTACAATAGTTACGTGTCGGTAATGCTAAAGGATCAGACTGACGTCATTGAACAGCTTAATAAATGATCCCATACTTTGGACTTCTATTCGCCTTATACTAAATGGTAACAGTTTAATAATTGGAAACATTCTCTTCCGCCAAAGGCTGCTGCATTGAGATAATGATTCGGCTGTTGGAATGCCAAAGGAAGACTGAAATGTTTAAATCATTCTGCAGAAGACATATTGCTTCAAAGTAATATTTAACAGAACGCTAGAATGAAACATTAAAAAAACCAAAGAGACCATTCCCTATGTCTAATAAATTCTGTGATTCTGTGATGAGTACATCTAAATGAATAATTATCTTAAGCAAGTCTGGAATCGCAAGTAATTATTAAATTCATCTCTGCCTGAATGTGTGTTTTTCATTGCAAGAGGGAAAAGTCTGTTATTTTATCTCACTGCTCCCTTAATTGTTTTTCTCTTTTTTATCAATCTTTAAAATAAGTAGCCTTGCTAATCAAGTTGCCAAATAAAGAGTTGCTAATGGAATGTGAAATTCAAGCAAAGGATATTTCACGAACCAATATTCTCACAAAGGTTATATCCAAAACCTTAATATCAACATGAAAACACACATGCATCTTTTCTGATATGAGAAGCATATTCTGCCATTAAGATTTACCTTTTCTATGTCTTCGTAGTTCTCATTCTGCCCATTTTCGTAAAGCTTGGCATATAATCTCCAGATTTCTCCATCACTTGTCACTCGAGAAGTCACTCTGCCAAAGAGGGCCTGCAGTTTTCCCTTTAATCCTTCGGCTGTCTCTCCATTTCGGTCACCTACTCCATCCATGACTACTTCTACCAGAATCTTAAGCACCTTAAAGGAAATTGTTAGTTATAGTTTGACTCCCATAAAGTCAAGTGGAGTTCCCAAAATATTTGCTAATACATGGTTCACTTGATCAGAGTGATCAGAGCTGGAATAAATATATTAAATGACTGGATTAATGTATTAAAATAGTAATCTATTTGAAGATGACACAAGACGTTATAATTGCATAAGGGCATTATCTAATTATTTCCTCTGAAGATGCTTGATGAATACTATAACATATATTAATTATAAAACAAAGGAACTATCTCCTTAGCTGCTGTATTTAACAACACTTAAATATTGTTAAAATATTTTCCAGGGATACTAACAACCAGCAACCGAAATCTGAATTCCATGCGTTTCTTTGAGGTAATATCAATATCACAAAATATCAAATTGTATGATAGCAGAATTGTTCCTCCCTTTGACTTTCCAACATATTACTGCAGAATTGTTTCTGCAATATTAACATCCCACACCTCACACATAAACATAGTTTTGCCTTTGCACTAGAAAAGGCAAAATCAGTATCAAAGCTGGAACGCTATCTATCCATTAGATGAATGGGGGTGGGAGGACCAAGTACTGCCTTGGCTGACTCCCATCCCCTCCAATGCCTGTACTGTTTAACGGAATCCCTCTCTCTCTCTCTCTCTCTCTCTCTCTCTCTCTCTCACACACACACACACACACACACACAGAGAGAGAGAGAGAGAGAGAGAGAGAGAGAACATGCACTTCACATCTGGTTACTCAAGAGCCACTGCATTGGATTGCCTCTTCAGGGGTTCTTGGCAGAGAGGGAAAGTGCATGATGCTACAAAGATAGAAGTTGAGGACATTATGTTCATTTGAAATGACAGCTCAGAGGAATTCCTGGGTAGTACACTGTTAATTTTCATGTCACATGGCTAAAAGCCTCCCAAAGAAGGCAAATGCTAAGGAGAGTAAAAAAGAAAGTACAAGAAAAAAGAAATTTTGCAATTGAGGTGGTTAGTAGAGCTCACAAGTGTATGTGTTTTCTGAGGAAAGCAAGCCTAAACTGGGTAAGGCTGCTACTTCCTCCCATCAGAACTGAAGAGAGAAAGGTATCCACTGCTTATGCTGTAGAAAAAGATCATTTTACTAGGTCTTGATACAGCTTGAAAGTTATGGCAGCAAAAAGAGTTATCTTTTTAATTACTTTCTAAGAAATTCTAAAATTCTAAAACAGGCAACTTAAGATATTTAACATGCTTTAAGTTATTATTCCTTGTCATGAATCATATTATTTAAAATTAGACGTATGAATAAAAAGGATGGCCATTGTACCTGGACATCTTTATACTTTTCTTTTAAGTCCATAAGCCTGTGATAAGCTTTAATGGCTTCTGAAAATTCTCCAATATCTGTACTGGTTAAAATGTAATTTTCCCAAATCTGCCAATGCTCATAATTACACTTGAGAGCTTCCTGAAGAGTCCGGAATGCTTTAATTCTAGTTTAAAAAAATAAAAACAAAGAAAAAATAGCAAGCATTAATTAATTATAAAATGGGCACCTTTGTTTTTTTCATTAAAGGCTTCCCCATTTGCTCATTTAGAATCTTTTCATTTTGTCATATTGAAAAGAAAAGCGATGAAATAAACTCTTTTACTTTGCCACAAAGCCATTCTTAACTGGGAGGGAGGAGATTTTTATATAGAATTTTATATATAAACACAGTGATGTGAGAAATATTTCCTCTAGTGCAGGGGTGTCAAACTCGATTTCCTTAAGGGCCACATCAGGGTTGTGTTTGACTTTGGGGGGCTGGGATGGGCATGGCCAGCCACGAAAATGGAGCTCGGAAGGCACAGGGCCCCAGAGCTCCATTTTAGTTGGAAGAGGGATGCAGGAGGCCATTGCAGTCGAAAATGGGGCCTGGGAGGGCCGCTGAGACCTTCCTGAGCTCTGTTTTAGTTGGCAGAGGCACCATGGGCGATCCTTCACTGTTTCCAAGGTGGCCCCATGGGCTAGATTTAAGCACCCTGCGGGCAAGATCTGGCCCAAGGGCCTTGAGTTTGACACTCTTGCTCTAGTGGGATCCAATACAGTTGATGAAGCATATTGACAAAATCATTTAGAAGGTGTCCATAATGGAAGACACAATAATTGGACTCCCTTGTGTGGCTGGATCATTTATATTAAGAACAGGTGATCCACACCTGCCTTCAGCTGTAAGGGTTCTAACACCTCAGAGGAAAACAACATGGTATTAAAGTTGTCCTTTGCCAAATGGAAGGACATTGAAAAGAAATGGAAATCAGACTCCTAGCCCAAAAGAGAGGATCACCTCAGCAAGATGCTCCATATAATTTGGGAGAGATAGAAAGGCACAAAAACATGGTTCACTTTTGATGCATAGTAAATGATACAATGGTTTAAACTTTTCTAAGATGAATCTTGTTGGAACTTCGTGGGTTATTATGCATCAATTTAATTTGTTTCTCCTCACTTAGCAAAGAGAAACCTAATAGCAGAGCCAATTCATTTTTGCTGTCCTAAAGCCCTTAAAATCTTAATAAGGTACACTTCACTCCTGCCAAAAAGGAAACCAACCAAGCAACCAAATATATTTTCAAAACCAGAAAAAAATACTGTCCCAAATCATGTTATCTTGGAATTTGAGACTGATAGGGAGCTAGTCTGACTATGGTGGTTTTGGTATTAGCCAAACCAGGAGACTGTAAGTTCTAGGCCTCCCTTAGGCCTGAAAGTCAGGTGGATGATTTTGAGCCAGTCACTTTCTCTCAAACCAACCCACCTCATGGGGTTGATGTTATGCGGAAAATAGGAGGCACGTTTAGGTATGTTTGCTGCCTTAAGTTAACCACAGACTGTTTTTAAAGCAGAAAAAAAGAAACAGCAACAATGACAAAAATAGTAATAGTCTTTTGAAACAAACTGTCATTGAGTCATGGTCTTGTGGCATCTGCAAATCTGGACCTGTAGCCAATGAACCTTTATCCTAACAACTGAACTGAATATCAGATGTTTCCCAGTCATATTCTCAAAGATTATCACAACCGGTTTGGACTGAGCAAATACAGGCATTGGTTCAGATATCTAATGATTACTTTTAAAGAGGCGATTAACTGGAAAGTTTCTTTAGGCTATTTCTATATTAACATTGAAAGTTGCTGAAAAAGACATTTGTTTCAAGAGGACACTTGAGCATCTTGGAATCTCTTTGCATCTATTATCTGTTCCTTGCAATCTCTGAGGCAACTGCATCTTCCAGTCTGCTTATTTCATAAATATGTCTAAAGACCTCTTGAACTTATTTATGGCTTTTGGTTCAATGCACCCTCTTAGCAATTTGTTTCCTGTGTATACAATACTTTGTAAGCTCCTTACTGGTTTTCTCATTTTTTAGTTTCTTTTGAGAAAGCTGATAAATTGTTTTTCATGATGTAAAGAAAAAAAAAGATAAAAATACCCTTTAGCTTGTTTTCTGAAGATGCATTTCTTTAAGCAGAAGATTAATGGAACACAGTCTAAGCAACAAAAATTATCTTGACAAGTGACTTATGTTTCTGAAAAACTGAAAGCCGTTTTATCAAGAAGATATCCAACCGAATTATTTTTACATAAATGAAACAATCATACAGAATTAAGATATCAAGTCCACTCGTAAGATTTATGTAAGGTACATTTCTAGGAAAATGAAAAGATAACTTAATATTGAACAGCCAATTTTCACAATGAGTGTTGGAACAACACTGCAAATACAAATCATTAGCTATATCACCTGTTGAAAAGATACAGTCTTGTTTTAGGACAGGATTATGGTTTAAATAATAATGGTGCTATGCATTTAAATATCAGTAGTCACCTTCCCTCTTGCCAGCTGCGCATTATTTGAACTATTTCATAACAAAAATAGGACCCTGAAGTCTTCATTAAACCTCAATAGCAAAGTCAGATTAATCAGCTAACATGAAATGTACAGAAAGTCCTCGACTTACAACATTTCATTTAATGACTGTTCGAAGTTACAACAGCACCGAAAAAAGTGATTTAAGACTGTTTTTTACACTTATGACCATAACATCCCCATGGTCATGTTATCGAAATTCAGATCCTTGGCAACTGGTTCATATTTATGATAGCTGCAGTGTCCTAGGGGTCATGTGATTCCCCTTTTGTGACCTTCTGACAAGAAAACTTAACAACTGTAGTGATTCACTTAATAACTGTAGCAAGAAAGGCTGCAAAATAGGCCAAAATTCAAATATTTGTCTCGCTTAGTAACAGAAATTTTGGGCTCAATTGTGATTGTAAGTCAAGGACTACCTGCAATGATAATGATAATGTTGTAATGTTGATGTGCTGATATGACAAAACATAACTTCCAAATTGGTTATGGGTTGGAACTATGGGAATTCTAGTGCAATAAATCTGGAAGATACTATATGGCAGGGGTGTCAAACTCACGGTGTCATGGCAGTGTCATGTGATGTATCAGGACTTTTTCCCCCTTCGCTAAACTGGGTGTGGGCATGGCCAGTGCGTGACGCATCCAGCTTGTGGGACGAGAGTTTGACATCCCTGCTATATGGGGTACAGTCCCGGATGTGAGTGCTTCTATAATACTTTGCTTCCTGGCCTTTTTTCCAGATTTGTTGCACTAGAATCCCCACAGTTACCACCCATAACCAATTTCTAGTTGTATTGTATGTGTGTGATGTATGTACATATGTGCATATATATGTATATATATATATACGTATGTAAAAAACATATGCCGGGTACAGATAGACCTCCCATTACCAGTTTCACTGTGAACCTGAAATCTTAATTAACTGTACACTGTGCAATAATTTTTTTACTGTAACATTTGTGAGCGTGGTGAGATCTAAAGAGTTGCCTTTCTTTCCAAAAGTTTTTTTTTTCATGATATAATCTCTGACATTCTAATGATATTTATGGTGGGAGGCCAAATGAGAGAGCTTGGGTTTGTGGTGATAAAGGGGATCCTGAAGGCAGTATGTTCAGAAGCTGAATGTTATTCCGGAAAGGCCAGAGTTAGAGGAAACCAGGGCTGTTTACTTTGGAAAGAAGAATTACAAAACCACTTTGATGCACTTACTTCTGTTTCAATCTGATATATGCAGTAGATAGATTGTTCCAAGCCTCTGCATTCTACAGTCAAAATACACACAAAAATGTTAGCATTAAACTGTCACAGAAGGGATAAACATTTAAAAGCAAATACATAAACACACTTTTCTCCACAAGCAATGCTGTGCTACTAGCCAATATTTATACAAGCACAAATATTGAATTTATATCATCAAATGTGCGCAAATCAACCATTTATAAGAGGAGAGTTTCAAACATATATCACTGACACCTGTTAGGATATGCAAAGCTCAAGTACCCTGAAGGAGGTTCTGATGCAAGCAACAGATGCAGATAGAAGAACAGACAGAATAGAAGAATAAACAATGGCAATGTGGCCACAGAATATTTTATTTTTGTTTCTCAAATAATGATTTTGGGAAGTCTTTTTACCCGGAATACCGCCCATCAGCTGTTCCAGGCTCCGGGAATCACTGCCACCCACTGCCGCTGTTTATTGTTGCCTCCGCACGCCCCATTTTCAGCCTCTGCATGTCCCATTTTCGGCCTTCACATGCCCCATTTTCAGCCTCCGCATGTCCCATTTTTGGCCCATTCCAGGCGGCGGTGATCACCTCCACTGCCGTCTATTGCCATCAAATGGCGGTGGTGATCCCTGCTGCCTGGAACGGGCCTAAAACGGGATGCGCGGAGGGCAAAAATAGGACATGCGGAGGGTGAAAATGGGGCGTGCGGAGGCAGCGATAGGCAGCGGCAATGGGCGCAGCGATTGCCACAGCCTGGTGACAGCTGATGGGCGGTATTCCGGGAGGCCAATTCAACCGCCAATCAGCTGCTCGTGCTAAATCAGGCTGTGCTGAAGATGACCAGCTGTTTGTTGTTTACTGCAAGGTGGAAAATTGCTGGGAGGCAGAGACAGATTTTTTTTCTTGTTTCCCTCCTCTAAAACTAATTGTATCTTATAATCCGAAAAATACGATATGTTTTTCAGTTTTAATGGACAAAATCCCATATGAGAACAGTTTTTAAAGGTTTTGGCTACCCTGTGAGCATTTGGCACTTTTAAATTTGCCCATTACATATATGTACGTGTATAACTGGTGCATTGTGACATATGTACATGCATATACAGTACATCTGCACATAATTAGGGCACATAACATAATTAGGACACTTTGTAACATATATGCACTATGCAGTTGGGTAGGTGCAGTGAGATCTGAAGAACTCAACTGGTCTCTACAGATAGTCCTCGACTTATGACCACAATTGAGCCCGAAAGTGAGATTTGCCCCATTTTACAAACTTTCTTGCCACAGCTCTTAAGTGAAACATTGCAGTTGTTAAATTAGTAACACCTGTTAAGTGAATCTGGCTTCCCCACTGACTCTGTCGGTCCGAAAGTTGCAAAACTTAATGACCCCATGAGACTGCAAACATCATAAACATGAGCCAGTTGCCAAGCATCAGAAGTAACCACAGGGATGCTGCAATGATTGTAAGTGTGAAAAAGTGGTCATAAGTCACTATTTTCACTGTCATTGTAACTTCAAATGGTCACTAAATGAATGGTTGTGAGTCAAGTACTATCTCTATAACAATTCCTCCATGGCTGTTAATGGCTGCTTTTTCCCCCCTGCAATGAACCTTTTTCTGATTCTCAAACATAAACTCATAGAGAGATCCACCAATTTTATATACTCCATAAAATGTAGGAAATGATAATAAAAGCATACCTAAGTGTTGCTTTTCATTCATTTACTTACATCAGGTTCAACTTTTAATCAAAGCACACCTAAGTGTTGCTTTTCCTTCCCTTACTTACATCAGGTTCCAACATTACACAGCGCTGAAAAGCCCGGGAAGCACCTTCGTAGTTTTCCAATGCTAAATAGGCACAGCCTAAGGAAAACCACACCCCCAACTGAAAGAAAAATGAAACAAAGTGGATCAAAGAAGCATTTCCCAACCTAACATCTCCCTCACTAAATAATTATCCAAATTTTTAAAGTCACATACTTGGGCACAAATAGGTCCAATAAAAAGACACCCCATGCATTTCCTCATTCCTCGAGAATGACTTAATATGGATTTCCCCATTGGACAAAAAAACCTTATTTGAAGCATAATTTCTAGATGCAGAGCTGGGTTCCCCAGAAGGGAACATTACATATATATTCAATTTCAAGTTATATAATGAAAAGCCTAACATTTTATATGCAGAATGGCCTGGTTCCGTTATAACAACTGGGGTCTAATAAACCAGGAAGAGGCAGATTTCAGGTTAGTCCGATCTACTTTGTTCTTTTTCTAGAATATCTAGATGCTTCTTGAGTCAAATGCAAAGACATGCATTTAAAATTAAAAGTGCTCTGGTTCCAGAAGTTTGTCCTAAAAAACCAGAACTTTAATGGCACTAACACTTTTAGGGAAAGCAATTTAATTTAGAACATCTTGTCATTATTGTGAACCTACTTAGAATTTAAAAAAAGACTGTTTACTATCTATTGGAAGTCATACAGAAATAAAGCAGAAATTCCTAGTATACTCTCTAGAATAAATCTTAAATCTAAGCCAAGTGTGTGTTAGCCACTTCCCTCTTCATCCCTCTTTTCATCTTCCTACTGGCTATGTCAGCTTTTTAAGTCATGGCTTCTTATAGTTTCCACATTGTAAAGCTAGGTTATCTTTTCACATCAAGAAATTTAACACTGGAGACTTCCGGTTTGTCGGCTTCGCGAGCGGCAGGGATTCGCGATACTGCGCGATCCCTGCTGCGCTAGCCGTTTTTGGTGCTCCGATCCGGATGGGTTTGGAGCTAAGGCTGCCCTGCAGGGGCGGCTGAAGATAGGGGGGATTTGGAGAGGGGTTTGGGGGTGTTGCAGACCCCCTCCCCGGCCAGCAGAACCCCCTTTTCCCAAGACGGTGCAGCGGCGGTCCGTAATGGCCGCCACAAAGAAGCCGGCAGCTGGGTAAGAATGCGCAGGAGGAAGAGGAGAAAGTTTTTTTTAAGTAAAAGTTTTTCTTGGTTGACCCAGGACTCTAAGACATATTTAACATAATTCCTGGAAATTATGGTTTTTTGAGTGATACCTTCCAGAAGAGAAAACAAGCGGCAATTTTGAGGTGCTGAAAGGAAAGTTTACTCTCCTTCCCTACGGAATCAATAAGTGGATACTGAGAAACCTGTCTTTTTCAGGTAAAAACTGGCTTTATGTGATAAGTGGGAAGGGAGAGAACAAAAAATATATTTATATGTTAAGATTTTGTTGGAGGAGATGCCTTAAGGACCTGAAGACTGAAATGTATTGCAATAAGGCTTTAAGATACAGATTTGGACTTTCTTTTTTTGACTGATACTACCCCAGGAAGAGAAAGTGAGAACTTTGTCTTGGCTTGGATTGATTGATGACTTTGGGATTGTTCTATTTTTTGAAATATCTTGGTTGTTGCAAGAAGAAAGAGGGGGGGGGAGAAAAGAAAAGATTTATAATGGCTTTTTCTGTTGAGGAACTGAGAAAAGAATATGAGCAAACAAAAAAAGATGACAAAGATGGTGTAAAAGAAGCCTTCCTTTTTTTAGAAATGGCGCTTGCTACCTATCAACAAACATTACAACAGATGGAGGCAGCAGAAGAAGAAGAAGAAGAAGAAGCCATCTTTAATGAATTTCAAAATTTAACTAAGAAAGAAGGAAGAAAGAAAGGAAGGAAAATGAAGGACTTAAGATTTAAAAAAACACTCAAGAAAGAGAAAAATAAGGAGCAAAATCAATATAATGATAGTAAACAAAAGAAAAAAGGAACACAACAGAGAAGGGAAGCCAGTAAGGCAGAGGCTAGGAGAAGGGGGGGTAGAAAGGTTTGGTGGGAGAAGAAAGAAAGGGAAAAGGTGGAGAAAAGCCACAAAGTTTTGAAATTAGATGGGAAAAGAGGAATCTTTTTTAGGGACAAAGGGTAAAGTATAATTTCTTTAAAAAAGATTTTGCAAGGTACATAAGATGGTATTGTAGCATTTGTATTAGAAATAGAAAATTAGAATGGTTTAAGAGTTAATAAGAGATTAAAATGTTGAAAAGTTTAATAATGATTGATTTTAAAATTTAATAAAATATTAAAGGGAATGTTTAGAATATTGAGTTTCAATTAAAAAGTTTAATATGACTATGGTATTGATGTTATTATAAAATTATTATTGTAGCATTTGTCTTTGGAAAAGGCAATGGGAATGTTATAAGATTCAATATTTAGATCTATTATTTAACTATATACTTAATCATTTTGGATTTATTATTTTTCTCTTATTAAAAAATAAATAAATTAGTAGATAGAATGTACCAAGCAGAATCAGATTGGGTATTAGGTGTTATTTTAAATGTTAATCTAATTAATTTAGGAGGAAGATAGAAAGGCATCATACTCTGATTAGTGATTTCAGGAGAAATTCTTTTTTTTTTATTATAAGGAATGAGACAAAGGGATAATAAAGAATGGACAAAAGATACAAATATAATGACTCAAATTAAGATGGATTAAATAAGATAGAATTAAGAGGAGTGAAATGTGTGGAGAAGCTAATATAGAAGACATAGAATGGTAAATAAAATAGGTAATGATATGTAAGATGAGTATGAATATAATTGAAGTCCATGTAGAGAGAGGTACCTGGGGCCAAGTTACTTTCCTAAAAGATTTTTTATATGTTTGTGTGTTGTGTGTTTATGTTTTTGGGAGAATTAATAAAACCTTGCAGAAATATAGAATGAGAATAATGGTAACCAAGTCAGAAAGAAATAGATGAAATAATAATAGTGAAATTGAATAAGAGTAAAGAGAAGTAAAGAGAAACTGGATAAGAGGTATTTGTATGCTCATATGGAAATGGTTTAAAATAGAATTATATTGTATAAAATAAGGTTTTATTTGACTTGTAAAATTTATAATGGAAAAAGGTTCAAGTATGTAATGGTTAATGATGATTTGTTTGTCTTTAAAATCAATAAAATTTGTTTAAAAAAAAAAGAAATTTAACACTGAAATCCTAAAATAATTCTTGGTCATTTTTACATGGAATTGGACTGATGCCCCTAGGTTGTCTGCACCTTATTTTTGCAAATAGTAATGTGAAGTTGAAAATAAATTTCTTAAGATGTACAAAATTATACCACTGAGTGTGTGTGTGTGTGTGTGTGTGTGTGTGTGTAGGTATAGGCAGGGGTGGGCTTCAAAAAATTTAGCAATGGGTTCTCTGCCCGGTTGCTGGGTTGGCATGGCCAGGGTGGGCGTGGCCTAGTTGGCCTCCTGCACCACGGGTGTGTGTGTGCGTTTTTGCCCTCCCAGGCCTCCAGAGGCTTTTCTCGAGGGCAAAAATGGCCTCCCTGGGCTCTAGAGGCTCTCTGGAAGCTGGAAAGGGGCCCATTTCTGGCCTTCTCGAACTTCTGAAAGGCCCATTTTCCCCCTCCCCGAGCCGCTGCATGTACCCTGCACTTACCTGCATCCAAAACGGGCCGTGTGGGGACTCCTGGGAGGGGAGCGGCAGGGTGGACAGGGCCAATCAGGAGTGGGATTTGGGGGTTCTCCGAACTGCACAGAATCTTAGCTAGAGGCTCTCCCGAACCTCTGTGAACTCCCAGCAGCCTACCCCTGGGTATGGGTATCACTGATGATTTAATCACTCCATGGAACCACCTAACTGTTCTTTTTAAAGGATCAGGTCATATATGGAATGCATCATCCCAGATTACTAGCCATGCCAGGTAGGACTGATGTAAACTGAAATACAATAACATCTGTAGATTTCATCCCATTCTACAATATAGGGTTTGAAGTGGTTCTAGCTCCTTGCAGATTTATACCCCTTTTTTTATTCATGACCTGATCTCAGCATCCATCAGAAGGGAGTTTGCTTCAATCACCTTAATCACGAAACAGACAACTGATTTTTCTCAGGCTGTTTTATTTGGAAATGGAATCCAGATTAAAGGACAATGCTCTTCTTTTGAACTTTTTATCTTCTTAGAAGAGGCAGGATTAGAGTAATTTTATAGAAATATGGGCGTTTTTCCCATGATAAAAAGGGTATGCCACAGAACTGCAGGAAATGTGTTTAAGTTATCTTTGCACATTTCAGAAGGAGGCCTTAGAGAGGGCCAACAGAGAGAAAATTGCAGAAGAATATCAAGAGTGAGAGAAGCCATAACTTCCGGCAGCAATTATGGAATGGGATCTGGTAAATCACTCAGAGCTGTGAAAAACCAGAGGCCTTTCATAATCACAACTTTTAGAGAAAGGGTTCTGTTTCCCTGAATTTCAATAGCTAGCATGAGATGTTATTTCTAATAAAATCCTCTTCCCAAAGCAAGCATTTTAATGTGTTTGTGAAAAAAACTGGCTTAATACTAAGATCCTCATAAAGATAGAACCATTAATTAAGACTTTCTCCCAAAATTCCTGTTCCTGTTTTTCAAACTGGGAGCTACTTTCAGAAGATGGCATTAACAGCTTTCTTTCTTTCTTTCTTTCTTTCTTTCTTTCTTTCTTTCTTTCTT